AAAATTGGAAAATTGAAGGAAAAGTTCATCAAGTTATGGACATTCCACAACATGCATGCATGCATATATGTATCTGAAAATATAATAAAAATAAAAATAAAGATAAAAAAATTAAAGCACAAATAAATCAAACCTCTCTAAGCGCTCTTGCATGTCCTTCATATGGCTTCTGTAATGGCTCTCGATGAATTTCTTGGCGGCGGCAACGCGCTCGAGGGTGACGCTCGAAACCGCCTGTTCTCGATCGTCCTCGATTTCTTCTTCCATCTCCATCTCGTTGCCATTGGCCGCCGGCAAGGCGTTCTGCTCCGCCATATATGTTTTTTGGTTGATGGGTTCTCTCTCTTTCTCTCTATCTTTTTTTTTTCTTTTATCTTTTTTCCTATAAATGTATGTGTGCATATGTATGCATGTGTGGTGTTTGTGAAAAGGTTGGCTGGTTGTGCGTGAAAAATGTGGGGGGCGATATGTGGATTCTGGTAATTAAATGGGGAAGGGAGAGAGGAAAAAATAAGAGATTTTGGTCTCTTTGTCTTTGCTACAATTTTAGTTTTACTACGATTGTATATTGATTATTTATGTTTTTTTTTTGGTTTTAATTGATAAAGTTAAAGTCTATTTAATAATTTTGGCCCAGCAATATATGATATTTAAAAATTGCAATAAATAATGGGTAGCATTAGAACTAATTAAAGGTAACACTTGAAAATAAATATGGTAAATTTAATTGTGATTCCATTAATATATTTTAAATCACATTTTTTTTTTTGGGTGAGACAGCGTAACCGTTAGGGGGTTCTGTCCGTCATAAATTCTGATATAGGATAACATACCAAGTCGACTGGACTCGAGAAATAGCATGACCAAAGCGGATAAACTACCATTCGAACAAATATCGATTGCATTACAGGTCGGAGATCCCCAGGTCGATGGGGGAAGTCGAGAATCCAAGGAGTACCGACTGGTTAAGCTAATGCTCTTGATTGGTTTGGTTGAAACTTGACCTGAAGGTACAACCAGTTGTAGGATTGACTAGGTGAGCAGAGCTCGACATTGAGGGTACTACACCTCGAGGTAATCGGGGTCGGTCCCCCAATTAGACTGTACGTATAATAAGTAAGACTAAGGGATAAGAATGAATATTATTAAGATAAGATCTACACGTGGATATGACCACGTGACCTAACAACAATGGGCAATTCGGGCAGTGTTAACGGGCTATTTTGGTAGCCCACTCAGGCAACAAAGTATCATCTCCTTATGTAAGGAAGTGGGGTATGCCATTGTTACATTACAAACTCACTACATACTAACATATTGTTCATCATTTTCTTCAAAGCTCTAAGTTACGCATCAGAAGTTCTTCACTGAAAAACCCAGTCGATGTTGAGCTTTTACAGGACTTGAAGGTCAACCATCAGCGAGGATGACAAATCAAGTCGAACCGAACCAATCGAGGGTTCTTTCATGTCACATTTATAACAAAATTGCATACTTATGCATGCTAGGCAGGGACGGATCAAAGTATGTCCTAGGGGGGGCTATTGTCCCCCC